TGACTCTCAGTCACCAGCACTATCACACTGTAGGACCCAGATTACTCCCTTACTTTCAGGATCTTACCAGCACATCTGTCAAATACTTTTAGTAATACTTCCCTCTTAGTAGCCTGCCTAATGTGTTGCTCTTAGGCATTTCTTACAAGCTTCACACCATCAACAGGGGAAGATAAAAGCTGACATTCCTATTGTACAGCTGGGATAGCTGAGGCACAGACATACCAAGCAATCCACCCAGGGTCATACAGTGAGTCGGTGGGAAAGCCAGCAATAGAATCCATAAGTCCTGAATCCAAGTTCTCTAAGTGCTTTGACTCGTCCGGATTCCCTCCTTAACACCCTTGTCACATTATTTATAGGAGCTGTATTCATATAGTCAGTAAGACATCAAAATTTTCTAATTATATCTAGTCATGTCAAATGACAATTATGCCCTTAGTTCAGTTTGCCAGACAATGCTTAGCCAAAGAATGTTTGCCAAAAATGTTTTGACCGAAGAAAGAAGAGGCATCTGTAGCATCTGCAGAGGAGATCGTATAAAACGTCCCCGCGACACGTCTGCCCTGGCTCCAGGGAAAGCTCCAAGGTAGGTGAGGGGGGTCTGCAGGCTGGCAGGAAGGGATGGTGCCCTTATGTGCCACAACATTCCTGCTGCTTCCAGTGTTCGTGTCCAGGAGGAGACTCCATTATAAACCTGCTCTCAAGGCATCTGCACGTTTTCACTCTGGATTTCTGTGCAGCAGCAATGAGGGAACTGCCATTTCTGTTTTACAGCACTGATCAGCTGCCAGCCTGCAAGCCACCCATCTGGTGTCACAGGAGGTAAGAACCTGATTTACTGATTCTTAGAGGGCAGAGACAGAGGGTGGGGTTTCTGTTTGGCTGAGTGAATGGTCATAGTTTCACCCTATATTTTCAAGTACACTGTAGTCAACAGTAGAGGATGGTGGCTGCCTAAGACTGGTAAGGTTTTCAAGGGAATCATTGAATCATAGAACAGTCCAGGTTGTAAGGGACCTCAGAAGATCATCTGGTCCATTCTTAAGGTGGCTGTGTTTGAAGTCTCTGACTACTCATGGCAGACCAGGAAATCCCCATGGGGACATTCTTTACTTCTGCTTAACTCCCCTAGCAGGCAGTGAGGTGCGCTGCCTTCCCACCATTGCTGGTGCAGCAGTAGAATTTGACCAAGAAGAACACCATAGGAAAAGTGTAAAATTCAATATTTTGTCTCAGAACATGTGAATTAATGTGATGTTTTGTCCAAAATTTGCCATGGAATCACTAAAGCAGTAAGAGTAGAAAGAGCTGTAATGTGAGCAACCAAGATCTGATTGTCACCTGTGTAAAACACAGCACTGCTATTTGTCCCCTGTGCTGCTCTGCCTGGTCTCTGCCTCAAAAAAATGGAAGCTGCAGCTCTCCTCCTCTGGAAGCCACTACCTGTTCCTCCAGACACAAATAAAGAATTATCCTGTTATTCTCTCATTTTAGTACAAATGTAGCACAATATTATTGTGTAAATATCAGGTACCTAACTCCATATAGAAAGAGATATGCAAATGTTTTCCTAAGCTGCCTACTGTTTTGTTGTTTTGTTTTTTTTTTTCTCAGAGTGAGGGGGAAGGACGGGGGAAGAAAAAAACAGTTCAGAGAAATTAATACTGGCTTTAAAATTCCTTATTTTTAAATTCCTGATTTGAGCTTTGAAACTTTGTGTTGTAAACTTTGTGTTTTAAAAAGCAAAAGGAAGTACTAGAAAAGGAGCTATCTCAGTGTGGTCTGAAAAGGTATTGCTCTTCTTTTGGTATTGTTGCAATTTATGCCTGGATTCAAGAAGTCAATAAAATTAGCAAAAAATTGTATTTTTAATACAATTATGCAGATGTTTTAAATACTGAAACTAAGCCACTGAGAAGCTTGAGTTTTCAGTATGATATTCCAAACAGTGGAGTATAAGCATTCCAAGCTTTGTGAATTAGTATCACTTGGGAGGAAATAGCATTATAATAATTTCAAATTAATTTTAGGAATGCCTAAGCAGTTGAAAGGATTTTTGAGGTCCTTTATTACACAGTACAGTCCCTGAATACCAAATACTAAGTTATGGGTTATTTTAAATGTGATTTCAGCACAAGCCAAATAATTTCCCAGAATATAATTTTCACATTTTCCATAACTGTTGAAATCCACCAAAGCAAAAATATGCAATTCCTTCCAAAAGGCTATTAAGGGTATCAATATAGTTTCTTTCCCCCCACATCTTTTATTCTACTAAAAAGTGCTTATTTTTGACAAAATTGAGCAATATATCTGCTCTTCCACAGTGTTCTCTGCTGACAAGCCTCTCCACAAAGTGCAGCCATGTCTTCGGATTCCGAGATGGCCATTTTTGGGGAGGCGGCTCCTTACCTCCGGAAGTCAGAGAAGGAGAGAATCGAGGCCCAGAACAAGCCTTTCGATGCCAAGTCATCCGTCTTTGTGGTACATGCAAAGGAATCCTTCGTGAAAGGGACAATCCAGAGCAGAGAATCAGGGAAAGTCACTGTCAAGACTGAAAAGGGAGAGGTGAGTGAGAAACAAGCCTGAAGGACAAATTTTCTTCCCACTCTGGGTTCTTAGCTGACATCCATACATGTCCTCTGACAGACCCTGACTGTGAAGGATGATCAGATCTACTCCATGAACCCTCCCAAGTACGACAAAATCGAGGACATGGCCATGATGACCCACCTCCACGAACCCGCTGTGCTGTACAACCTCAAAGAGCGTTACGCAGCCTGGATGATCTACGTAAGTGGCAGCAGCAGCTTCCCTTGGGCAGCTGGAGGAACTGCTCTGCCAGGCCCAGGGGAA